CCTCACTGTTAGGAAGTTTCTCCTTAATTCCAGGTTGCTTCTCTCTTTGGTCAGTTTCCAACCATTGTTTCTTGTCTTGCCCTCTGGTGCTTTAGAGAATACTTTGATGCCCTCTTGTTTGTGGCAGTCCCTCAAGTACTGCAATACTGCTATCATGTCGCCCCCTTTCTTCTTTTCTTTAGACTAGCCAAACCCAAGTCCTGCAGCCGTTCTTCATATGTTTTAGTCTTCAGGCCTTGGATCATCTTAGTTGCTCTTCTCTGAACTTTTTCCAAGGTCTCAACATCTTTTTTGTAATATGGTGACCAAAATTGGTTGCAGTATTCCAGATGTAGTCTTACTAGGGTTTTATAAAGCGGTACTTCGCGTGATCTTGATTCTATGCCTCTGTTTATACAAGCTGGATTACTTTTTTGGCTGCTGCTGCACACTGCTGGCTCACAGTCAAGTAATCGTCCACTAGGACTCCAAGGTCCCTCTCACAGCTATTGTTTTTGAGCCAGGTCTCGCCTAATCTGAACTTTGATTTTTCCTACCTAAGTGTAAAACTTTGCTTTTCTCCACATTAAAATTCATTTTGTTGGATAGGTCCCATTGTTCAAGTTTGTCAAGATCTTTTGGATCCCGAGCTTGTCTTCTGGGGTGTTGGCTATTCCTGCCAGTTTAGTATCATCTGCAAATTTGATGAGTTCGCCTTCTATTTCCTCTTCTAAGTCATTAATGAAGATATTATACTGGGCCTAAGACGGAGCTTTGTGGGACTCCTGCTTACTTCTCTACATGTGGATATAGTACCATTGAGGACTACTCCCTGAGTATGGTTTGTCAGCCAGCTACAGATCCATCTGATAGTGTTATTGTCTATCTCACCTTTTTCGGGCTTACTAAGCAGCAGGATATGGTCTACTTTGTCAAATGCCTTACTGAAATCTAAGTATACTATGTCCACAGCATTTCACTGGTCTACTAATTTAGTCACTTTATCAAAGAATGAAACCAACATTATGTAAGGCTGAAAAGGAATATGTGAGATAGGAGACTGTTCAGCTGTATATATAGTACAGGAGCATGTGCAACATATATTTGCTGTGTTCATAATAAGTGCTAATCCTGAAGGCAAATGATATAAGAAAAGAAAATCTATCTCTAGTTTACTGCAGCACCATTTATTGTAAAACCTTTCTATTCCTGCAAAAATGTCCATTTCTGTTAAGACTTTATACTGCTTCAGAGAGTGTTGTTCATTCTTTAAATTTCTCATATATCTTTTTTGAGGATCTCATCAATTCCATCCAAGCATGATTTTTTATCTGCAACTTCTTCTCAATCCATTCACTGTCCCTACATATGTTATGATCCATTCTACTTTCTTTCAACATACCCACTCATCCTCCTATATTTGTTTTGTGATTCAATACCTGTTTATTTCATCTATATCACCAAGCCATCTCAACATTTCTTCTCTATATTGGTCACTCACTTTTGTATACCATGCACATTCATTCATCTCCTCTTCTTTTTTGACCCCCTACCTTTTTTATTTCGATACTTTTCAAGTACACAATCCCACCACACTCAATGTCTTTCTCCTCACATGCTCATTGTTCATTTCCATTTGATCAAGTGGACAGAATAACGCTTATAGACAATCATTTTTGTTTCTTCTAATGAACTTTTGTTCCTCATAATAGATCGCATAAGACCCAGTTCTTTTCTACAAGCATTTGCTTCTACATTTTCCATCTTCTTTACTTTTAGTCAACATCCAAGTAAAGGGCATAAATTCACTTGCTTGCTCTAATATTTAAATGTAAATGCAAGCATTCAGTCTGCTTTTTTTCTTCCAAACACAACTACCTTGATACATTTTCTTTCTATTCATTTCCCTTGCATGAAACAGTCTTATCTAAAATTCTCTGAAAACAATTTGTGCTTTCAGTCAACATCACAACTTATTCTGCATACAAAAGACACATCATCAGCACTTATTTACGTCTTTCACCCTAATCAGTGTTGAGCCAGGGCTACGCATATAATTAATTCTTCTACATAGTTTATTTCTATTGTATAATATCTTATTACATTCCACAACCAACCTTCAGTTTTATATGGCACAAAACATTCCATTATTAAAACCTACTCATACATATCATACTCTTTTTTTTAAATCAGCATATATACAATAAGCTCTCCTACATTCATTCATTTCACAGTAAGCTGTTAAAGAGGAAAAATCTGGATTGCACCTGCCAACTGACTACGTAACTGCCATTTACTTTTGAAATATTGCTCACTATCATAATCATGTATCATTTTAATCAGACTTTTTCCAAACTCCTTCCAAAATACATTTCCTAAAAGTATCTCTGTAGTTTTTGTTTTATTGCTTGTTACTTTAACATTGGTATAAAGAATATCTTACATTATATGCAATTGTGGACTAACTAAACATGCATAAAATTGACTATTCCCCAAAATATTTTCTCTTTTTTTATCTTTAAGAGCAGGCAGGTTCATATTTGGGGGAAAGCAAGATTATTACATTGCCCTTCCAATTTTTGCCATTTTAAGTGCTTTTTTTAAATTAAATTTTGTCCTAAAACTTTAAACCAAAATTAACTATTTATCACTTAACTCATATATTCCATGCCATTACAATAATTCTGACTACAAGCTTCCTGTTCCAAAATATGATTGTTTAGCTACCAAGGATGAATGGATCTTCAGTTCAATAAAGCCTATTTTTAGATATTCTTTTATGCTTGAGCTGATTGTGTCATTCAGTTATTGTTCTTGCTATTGTACTTATTATTGACCAATCCACTCTTGTCTGATTTATGAATGTATTCACACAGCTATCTGTACTGTAATTTTAATGCATCATTAACAATTTCCAGTCACAAATTTATTCTAGTGTTGGCATATGGAGGCAGAAAGCATATGCAGCCTTTCCATTTCTCAACATTCTCACAGCATTTATGACTTTCTTTTTATCATTTCTTTTTTGGGTTTTGTTTAAATTGCACTTTTCAACATATCACTGACTTTCCCATAGGTATCTATGAAATAACCCTTTCCTTACTTCAGTTTTATCCCACATTATTTTACCACATTTATTTTTAATTCTATTCAGTCTGCTGGAGGTCTCTTGTTTAACCCTCTTCACTAATTTTCAAAGCAATTATTTAAGACCCTGAAGATCACACTGTCTTTTTTGTTGTTGTTGCTTCTTTCAATTTTACCCATTCCTTGTTCTTTGACAATATTCTTTCCAACAGTATTTTTCTATTCATACATTCATACAATCTTCATTTCTGCAGCAAATTCTTATGTATTTTTTCTCATCCCAGCTTCTTACACATAAATTCCCAAAAACTTTGTAAATTTCACAAGAACTTGAAAAAACTTTGTTTAACAAGGAACTTCACAAAGAATATTTTGCTAGCAAAACTTCACTCACTTCTATGGCATTTGGTAATGTAATTCTTTTCATGCAGCTGCCATATACATTTTCCTTCTATGCATTTTGTGTTCATTATACTGGAAGATTTATCTATCTTCTAAAACTTCATACATGATTTATCTCTCTTTTCCTACAGTCATTCCACCACTTATTTCTTTCACTTTCCTTTTCTTACATATGTTTACTATCCACTTTTACCAAATAATGGTCTGTCCCATATTTAGAAGCTCTCATCTCCTTTGCATTCTTCATTGGTTCTCTTGGTGTTTCATTGCAAACAGGCAAATTAATAACACTTTTAGATTTATGTTAAATTATTTACAATATGCAAAGTTAAATTTTGTATTAAACTCAAACAATATTTTTAATAAATACTCACCAGTCGCCATTCTTATTCATTCTAGGATTTTTGGCCCAATCATTTTTATATACTCTCTCATTTCAGTCTGACCTATCTGGTTATGTCATCTAACAGAATTATTTTTCCTTCAAAATATTTTCCTTAAACCATTTTTCCCAAAACCTGTGATTCACCCATTTGTTATCACAATTCACTAGAGTGTAACATGCAATTATAACCAACTTAGAGGTATGCACAAGACAGTAAATATGTTTTGTTCCATATATTAAAAAGCAATAGTAATAGCACTTAGACTTATAGTGCTTTACAGACTTCTCTAAGTGGTTTAAAGAGTCAGCATATTGCTCCCAACAATCTGAATCCTCATTTTACCGACCTCGGAAGAATGGAAGGCTGAGTCAACCTTGAGCAGGTCAAACCTATTCAATCTATTACATCCTTTTCCTTTCTCTTAGAAACACACCTTAGTCTCATTCATTCCATTCAATACTTCATCCTTTTTACCCTTTATTCAAAAATTTTACTGTCACAAATGCTAACAGTCTCTCTCTCCACCTCATTTCTTTCATTCCTTTCTACCCATTTTCCCTCTCTCCCTCCCTCCCTTCCTTTTTGTCCACATATACTAGTTCTCTCCTTTTCCTGTTCTTAGTCTAATTATCAACTGTCTTTTTCCTCACCACTAAGTTCTCATAGTTGCACAAAGTTGTGGCCACTGCAGCGCACCACAGTCGGCCATGGTCATGTGATCATAATTTCCCACCCTTCCTGCCAGCTTCCCAAAATTAAAGTAAATGGAAAAGCCAACAGGAAGATGAAAATGAGTCCTACTTCCACTGCCTTTTATGCCCACCCATGATCATTCTGTCTATCTGTTTAGATAAGTAAATATCTCTGAAAGGATGACCCAATTGCCTAGTATAACTTTAAAAATGTGAATTTGAGAAAACATTTTAACTTTTCTGGAAGAAATCATGAAATTGATATGAAAAGAAAGTGCTACTTTGTTTTTATAACTTCATGAAAGATAAATAGAAAACACTGTAAAGCATATATAACATCAAGTAGATAATATTTCTATGTTGTTCAGAGGTAGAAATCATTCTATCATTTTGTTCTTCTCCATGCCCATTCCCTCCACACAATTTCTGAAGACGAAGAACAATACACCCTTACCATGTATTCCATATTGGAAGCTTGTGGATAAACCTGACCCCGTAATTTATTATGAATGTCCAAAATACTTCGCATATCATTGTCAGTGATAGCTCTTTTTCCTCTTTGCTTTGCAATCCACCATTCACCATCTTCATCCATGTATTTTTCCAGCATGTCCTCAAATACTGTTGCATTGGGAAGCACCATAGTAGAAACTGCTTGAGCTATGACAAGCAAAGCAGTTACTCTAAACCATTCTTCACTGTTCATGATGAATGATGTCAAAACTCCTCTTGGGTTAATTCCAAACCAAAGGCGTCTTTCAGGTCTGTTGGCTAAAATGTCAAAAGAGAGTCAAGCTATTTTGCAGCAGTGAAAGTACAGCTGTTTCAGTGTCATAACCAAAGACGAAAGAGACCATATTTGCATTGATTCTGAATGGCAACATCTTCATCTCCATTCACTAGCATTATGTTGGACTACTTAAATGCATAACTGTGGCTCTATTTGACAGAAACCAATATTTCCTACAAAAGCACTTAAAAAAGAAAAAAACTATATAATTACCTGACAATTCCAAGGATCTCTTCTGAATAAGTTTTGTAACTTAAAATGAACTACGAATTTAAAGCATAGAAAAGGAAAATACCTTATCTAAGGAGGTCTGCAGAAAAATATTTTTATAAAAAAAATAATCATTTTAGGTTGCAAGCCAAACACATTTATTTACAAAACATTACAGGTCATATTTCTACCTTTTAGTCAGTCAGAAGATATTTAAACTTGTGATAAACTCTCTAATTCAGTGGTTTCCAAATCTGGTTAAATTATCCCAAATTTGGTTTTCTTTAATTAATGATACATGAACCCATTACTCAGGGACATTTAAATTGACTTAAATGTTTATCTACATTGGATAAAGAGGACTTTCTGATAAGAGGTTTTGGGAGTTTCATTGAGACACAAAAGTATTTAACACTAATCTGAACTTCATGTAAGTTTGAACAAAATCATTCTATTTTTAGAACTAATAGTTTCTGTATAACAACATTCATGAGTATTTTCAAACCTTTAGTCACAATTCATATTCAAGGAGTTTGACAAAGCAAACAAGCAACTCCCTTCCTTTCCCCCTCACCAAAAAAATGATGGGTTATTTAGAGTTCTTTCTAAACTGTAGTAGAAAAATGATAAGAATTGTTTTGTGTACCTGCAATAAGGAAGATTCAATTCTCTCAGAAATCAATGGAACCTACAACCATTTCATTAATAAATGGAAAGTGGGCACAATCATACAAACCAGTGAAAAATAAAAGAGGCAGGTTTTATGTACCTTTGACTAATGTCTTTTCCCTTCCCTTGCATAATCACATCCCTGTTATAAGAAATTATAAGATACTTTTAAAAATCGGTAGGTTTCAACAACTCTGATAGAAGGATCAAAGTCCCTCAATACCCACCCCCACCCCCCCAAGTCTCTTTTATTCTCTATCTTGCTCGCAAGAGCCAACGAGTTCCTACTGCCTGGGACAATGACTCTTCTTTCCTGTTTCTGGGAACGACGCCGAACTCCAGGGAGGCCACTGGGTGGGAGAGAAGCTAAAAACTCACTAGCAGTTTCGCCCCTCGGTTCAAAGGACTGCTTTCTTTCACAGGGATGCAAACAGCCGGCAGAAAAAAGAATCGCGCTGGAAATTGGGACTTTGGCCAGTGTGCGCACGCGCACGTTTGCAGCAAAGAAGGAAGCCTCTTACCTCGGGCCTCTTTCGAGAGCGGATCGCGGTGGAGCTACACAGTTCTGAAGGTCGTACACAGTTTTGAAGGTCGTTGAAGTTTGCAGCAAAGTCGTAGAAAAGGACGGGCTACCTCCGGCTCTGTTGGGAGCCCATAGACGTCTGCTGCCAACTTGTGCGCTCCCAAGTTTGTGCCCAAGTGGCAGTTCTCCGCAGCTCCGCAGTCCTTTATCCGCGCTTTGACTATGTGGTGCCTCTTGGTCTTCCTTCTCCCTCGACAGCACGGGAGAACTTCGCACTTCTAGGGTAGCCGGCTGCTGGGGAGCGGAGCGCCTCTCGCTGCCAGCCCTTTATCCCAAGCTCCGAGGCGCGCACACCCACCGTGACGCGCCTGGGCTCTTCACTCCTCCCCAGTACCCCAGGCGGGGAACGGTCCGTAACCACCCACCATCCTCATTTCCCCCGCACGCCAAGGTGTTCGGTGAGAGGCTGGTCCAATGTCACTCAGAATCCTCTCAGAGACAGGTCAATGGGGAATTATTCAGGCTGAAAGGATGGAGGAGAATCTGAAGAGGTTTCAACCGAAATGTTATGGCACAGAAATGGAGCCAAGGTCANTCTCTCTCTCTCTCTCTCTCTCTCTCTCTCTCTCTCTCTCTCTCTCTCTCTCTCTCTCTCTCTCTCTCTCTCTCTCTCACACACACACACACACACACACACACACACACACTATAGTTGCATTTGTTAGTCTTCCTATTTTTACTTTTTATTTCATTTCCATTTTATTTTGACCATATTGCATTTACTAGACAGAATCACTAATCAAAAATTGGAATGACAGTAGCAGGGATCCATTGAATTGTTCTAGGAAAGAATTATTGGGAGCTTTTGCATTACTGGGCAAGTGGTCTGAGCAAGCAGTTACTAGAATCAAAAGGTTTTGTACCATGAACTGAAAATTCCTACATTAATTTTCATTACTTTGGTTTGCTTCATCACACCTTAATCATCTCATTGGTCTGTAGGTTTCATTTCTTCTGATGGGAAAAAAATGGCCACATTAATAAAGTAACTTAAAAATCATGTTCCAAATGATATTAAATTTGATATATACTATCCTCTTATAATGATGTAACTGCTGCAACTTGTATCCAATTCAGATTTTTAAAAGCCACAAAAATGTATAGATACTTTTTAGGCATTTTAACATGACAGGTAAAAGAATTGTAAAGTTCTAGTTCTCATAAGTTATTCTCAGGAATCAGAAATTAGTCATGAGGCAGGTCTCAATATTTATAGAATTGGCTCTCCCTGTACAGCTATGTTTGTACATTTGCATTAAAAACAATGTTAGTCTCTAATGTTGTCTTAGTTTCTCCATGCTGTTCATTTTGAGATCCTTATTAATGTTATACATATAAAAAAGCTACCATATTATCTATGCACAGAAGCTTTATACTGTAAAATTAGAGAATTCTATTCCCCCCTCTACAGATGCTAAAGAGATCACTCACCTAATCACGTAGGCAATAATATTTTTAATGGCCTGTTAGCAGTCTGGATAAAAGATCTAACTTTTTGTGTTCACAAATATGTGAAAGAATTCTTTTAAAATGTCATTAAAAATTCCAAAGTTTAATAATGTTATCTTTTTAAATTTAGAAAAGCAATTTCTTTTAATGTAGATTTGGCAGGAGCATGATAAAAGTGCAGGGAACAAACTGTGTTAAGTAAATGAACAGGTAGCTTAGGAAAAGGAAATATGGGGATTTAATGAAATGAACTATCTTATTAGAATGTATTCTTGTTTACTACTTTCTTGGAATATAGCTAATGCAGACTTGTTATACATACTTTTTCATCAGTTTTTCTGGGCTTTGATGAAGCTTGGAAAATATGACCACTTTATACTTTCACAAAAGAAAAATACGAGAACAAGATTAGTTCGAATTCAAGAGGAATAAACAGAATGCAGACAAAAAGGGAATCTAATAGATAAGCAGGTAAAGATCAGAAATTGAGCACTGAGGAGGAATAAAAAGGTGAGAACTAGCAAATCCTGTTATTGTATTCAACATAGAGGTATTCTGCTACAGACTTTGCTTGGAACTGAATTTAGCCATCTCAGTGCTGGTAGAAGCCATGCAAAATAAATATTTTTCTTTCCTGTGTAAAATGACCTCCACATTCTCAGTTGCATAGCAGCTTTTCCTTTTTTAGTGATGCCTTGAATGCCAATAAGTTTACATGGATATAATTTCATTATGGAACAAGCAAATTCCATGTAAATAGCTCAACATTACATTCAGGGCATTTTAAAGGTTTAAAGATACTGAAATTTTATCAGTCATACTTGAGAAATCAACAATGCTTTGGAAATCTATAGATTGAGAGAGAGTAAAGGTGTAACATTATTTAGAATAACTGGGAATAAGCTGTTCTGTATTACATAATTAATTCAATAAAACATCACAAATGAACATATCTGTTGTCCATTTTTTACTTTGTACATATTAATCTGTTTTATTTAAATTACTCAACTCTGTCTCTAGCTCTCTAGCTATAATTTATTTCTTACTCTCCAAAATTCCCACTTTTGTCATTGACTTGTTTTATATCTTCAGACATCTGTTTTACTGAGTTTTTCATTTTTTTAGGTTCTTTCATCTCCCTCTTTCATCTCTATATGTCTTTCACCTATTTTTTTTTCAAAAACTAAATTTAGTCTCAAGTGACTGAGCCAATTTGCTGCCAAGTTAATTAACATTTTCTGAAGTTATTCTAGAGTAGTCTCCAAGGCTACTCTAATGATCCTTTTCTCCCCTTTTGAGTCACCATTATGTTAAGAGGCATAGTGGCTGAGTTGCTTAATGATGCTGGAGATGGTCTTTGCTCAAGCAGTTCAAATCCTAGCACCATCTAGCGGGGTGAGTTCCCATCACTTGCCTCATCTTCTGCCCACCTAACAATTTGAAAGCATGTTATATGTGAGCAGATAAATAGATACCACTTCAATGGGAGATGAGTCAGCGCTTTCTGTGAACAGTTAGAATCTTGCTGGCGCTGGAACCTCACAATTGCAATGCCTTTCCCTCCCTCAGAGGAGGGAGAGGGCCCTGGATGATGCTGTGGAAAAGCCGCTCGTCTTTCTTTCTGGTATGAAGTAGCTCACACCCTATGGCGTACCTTGGGAAGCACATGAGTGTGAACCAAGCAGAATTAGCAGTCTTAAACAGCCATTATGTTACCATCCAAAAGTGAAAGTCTCAAACAAAGAAAAAAGGAAAGGCACATTTCCGCTTCTTCTTTTATCCTCCTGCACCTTTAATGCTGTAATCACATCCACATCTCTATGGTTTCAGTCAGACACACAGTCTGCTCGGGTTACTTGTAATTTCTGTTTTGTAAACCAAATTGTCTGCAACTCACCAATTGTCTGCATTGTTTAGTAATAAGTAAAAACTTCCTCATTAAATGTCAAAGTCAACTGCTCAATTCAGTTACAGATACTCCAATGTACTTTTGTAGAAAAAAATATATTTTAAAAATACCTGTCCAGTTCAAGCTGTCTTGAATCATATCTTGTTAAGGTTTTTACCAAATATTATTAAATTTTTAAATTTTGTAATCTAGGAAAAAAAATGAAACTTGCCAAGAAAAATCCTATTTACAACAAAGGAGACTCTGTCTCAACCTGTAAAATAATCCCAAATACGCCTAAGAAATTAGGTTTAGTTGGGGTAATTGTCCATAAAGGCTTCATCCTGGTTATGAACATAGATGGAATTTCACAGAACTTGCAAGTGAAGAAATTTTCATTTCTTGTGGTTTATTTACAGGTAGTGCTGTCTGGAGAACAAGTATGTTATTACACAATCTCTCCTTTACCTGAAGATCTAGCTTTGACCCACTGGGCACTGTTCTCCACCATGACACTATCTCCATTCCAGGAGAGACAATTAGATCACAGTTAGGCCCCACTAGAAGCTCAGTGCTTCAGTGTTACTATTCATGACTTTTAAAAGGAAATATATAATCAAGAAATAAAAAGTAACAAAAACACCCTATTGTGCTAAAAATAAAGCTCATTATTATGGTACAGTAACAGAAGTTATAGAAATAAGCAAAATCATCAGATCTGATTTTGTTAAGATTTACATTCATTCAATTCCATATTGAATTTTAATTACAAGTTCTTAAAAAATTTTGTGGCCACTTTTTTCTAATATGTATATTTTGTGCATATTCTTTCCAAATATTATTTTTGCAAAGCAATTTTCAATGTAGTATATTTTTCTATTTATGTTTCTAATATATGGTGGTAAGCATCTTTAGGATAGCAAAACAGATTATTTTATGCCTCTGATATAATTGAATAGTTTTAAGAGTAATTTGGGTAAATTAACTTACAAAATACGAAAAGAAAAAAATTGTCCTTTATCATTTAGCATTATTGCTGCTAAACAAGATTATTTATTTTCATATTCTTTTCTACTAGAATCATAAGTCTGGACAAAGTTTTCTTTCTCCAAAGTACTAACTATTTATAGCTTGATATGCTAAGAAAAAAAAATATACAGAATTGCTTTCTGTATATTGATAGGACTTGACTCGTTATCCTTTGGCTGTTAGCCTCACCACAACATCAGCTTGCTTGTTTAAGTGGTAAAAGAGGCATGTTAGGCAATGAAGAGAACTAGTAATCACCACCAAAACCACAGTCCCACAGTAGCACAACCACAAAACCTGCATACATAAAACATTCACTTTCCTCATGAGAACTCCCACACTGAAAACATGCTACTTCAAAATACTAAATGCATTATATTTAAGCAAAAAGTTGATTACTTTGCTGAACAGATTCATAAATAAACCTGCAAGAATATACTGAAACAACTTTAAACGTTGGAAAAAAAGGTAGCAAACCAAGACGTTCTTACACTTTTCAATTAACTCCTACTCGTTGTGAGTATTTCTCACATACACCTAATTAAATGCTTTCCATTAATATTTGGGAGGGATTTCATACTGTATGTA